AAAAAAAAAAAAAAAAGGTAATTAATTGTTTTGCAAGCAACGAGATGCTGGTCACCAAATCATTTCCTGCAAACCCTTATCTCATCCCTTCCCCAAATCACAGTAAATGTTTGGATTTTCGGCCAGGGACAGATAACCCTTGAGCAGAGGTCTCCAAACTTGGCAACTTTGAGACTTGTGGACTTGAAGTCCACAAGTCTCAAAGTTGTCAAGTTTGGAGAACCCTGCCCTAGAGATTGATGGGGCTTCATGTCAAAGAAACGATTCGAGAATTGCAGCCTCACACATTCCTAATGTTTATGAGCAGAGAACACAAGAGCAGAGTTGAGTAACATCTCTCATTTGAACCCTCAATCTTTTCATTTTTTCTCCTTTTTGTTCTGCGCAACCAGCAAGATCACACGTATGTGTGTATGTGTGTGTCCAAATAACCAGCCTTTTTTATTTTTTTCCCCTTGCGGGTAAAGGATCAAATCAGCATTTGCACTGAGTTTTTAGTCTCCCTTCATCTTTGGCATTAAAGAATGTGGCGCAGTGGTTAGATGGCAGTACTGCAGGCTACTTCTGCTGCCTGCTGCCTGCAGTTCAACAGTTCAAGTCTCACCAGGCTCAAGGTTGACTTAGCCTTCCATCCTTCTGAGGAGGGTAAAATGAGGACCGATTGTTGGGGGCAAGAGACTGACTCTGTAAACCGCTTAGAGAGGGCTGTAAAGGACTGTAAAGCGGCATATGTCTAGAGCTTTTGCTATATTAATAACCCAGTTCTGGACTGGGTCTAAGCATCTCCTGCGGCTTTGCTCCGCATTTGGAAGGCTGCCCACTGGGTGGTCGAATGCATCAAGAAAGACACCAACGCAGGTTCTATCTTGGATGAGCTGCCCCGATCACAAGTTCGGGAAGCTCTTTTATTAAAAAAACACACAGTGATACGTCACAAGCAGTGAATTCTATCCAATCATTAAGTTACATGAGAAGGAATATTAGTGCACACATAGTAACATCCAATCAGTTACATGGTCAGTGTGAAAGGTACAAGGTAACAAATCAGCACCTGCATTACAGTTATTCGCCCATGATGACGTGTTTGTTGATTGATGATCTCTGTTCCTGGTACGCTTTCAGCCTACGTGAGTCTCTCTCTCTCTCTCTCTCTCTCTCTCTCTCTCTCATGTTTGAGGCATGGGTTTAATGAACGGAGACCAGACTGTAACCGTGAACTTCAGCTCTTTATTCACCAGCATAACAGAGACCAAAACCCCCGGCTAGCAGTCACTCTTTTATAGAGTAAGCTGCTATCCGGATAACCAATGGATAGTGTTATGAATCTTGGCGCGGCCCGCCAACAGCCAGTCAGATTGCTCGGAATGAACCAATCATAACTTTCCATTATATGGGCCAATAGGACGTGCAGGATTACGATCCTGCTAGGCAAATGAACCTTTATTAATTACATTTCTTTCGTTCACAACACCCCTCCCCACTGGGTTTCGTTTGACGGCCGTGGTGACGTAATCACGCAGGTATGCAGGTCGTTTTACCTGTCTATTCGATTTTCGCTGTTCCAACGCGAGCACTCGGTTTAGTGGCCGTCTGTCCTCGATTACGACATCGTCTATGCAGTCTTCGTCCCCCTCGGTATTCCCTCCCCCCTGAGTTTGGAAGTCCGGAGGGTCGCGAATATTTGATTGTAAACGAGATCGGAGTTGGTCTATGTGGCGTTTCCATATCTTGCCGTCTGTCGTCTTAAGGCGGTAAGATCTAGGGCCAGTGAGGTAGACTACGGTGGCTGGGACCCACAGCGGTTCGCCGGAAAGGTTTTTTGCGTAGACCAAGTCACCTACCTTGAATTGGCGATACGAGTGTCTTTTTAAGGAATTGGACCATCCGTTCAGCCCTACCGTTTGCCGCAGGGTGAGCCGGCGAAGTTAAGGCGTGGCGGATGCCCCGGTCCGCCAAGTATTGTTCGAAGGTGAGGGCCGTAAACTGGGGTCCGTTGTTGGAAACTAGAACGTCCGGGAAACCGTGTGTTGCAAATAATCTATCTAGTTTTTTAATGACCGAGTCAGTAGTTGTGCTTTTCATCTTGTGGATTTCGAGCCAGTTGGAGTAGGCATCCACGGTTAGGAGAAAAGTGTGTCCTTTCGTGGGTCCCGCGAAATCAATGTGGATGCGGGACCACGGGCCTCGAGGAGTTTCCCATTCGGTGGGAATTGCTCTCGGTGGGGCGTTGCTGACTTCTTGGCAGTTTCTACACGTGGTAACCCAGGCTTCAATTTGTTTATCGATGCCTGGCCACCACACGTAGCTTCGAGCGAGAGCCTTCATGCGGACGATGCCCGGATGTCCTTCGTGTAGGGTTTTCAACACAAGTCACTGTAGTTTCTCTGGCACGACGACTCTATCTCCCCATAGGATGCAGCCCTTCTGGGAGAATAGTTCCGTTTGCCGGTGTTTGAACGGTGTGAAAATGGCGGGGGTTTCTTCGACTGGCCACCCGCGTTCGACCCAACTGAGAACTTTTGCGAGGATAGAGTCTCGTTTTGTGCCGGCAGCGATATCTCTTGCCGTTAGTGGCAGCGAGTTGAGGGTTTCAATTTGCAGCGTGGTGAGGGTTGGAGCTGGGTCGCTGACGGTTTCCAGAAGTGGGGAACGGCTCAAAGCGTCAGCGTGGGGAATGGCTTTCCCCGGGCGATGCTTCAGTACGTAGCTGTAGGCTGCTAGGAATTCTGACCAGTGAGTCATTCTAGGCGATAATATGTATGGGGTTGGTTTATCACCTGCTAAAATGCCAAGTAAAGGCTTGTGGTCTGTAATTAGAGTAAAGGGCCGCCCGTAAACATATTCGTGGAATCGCTTCACGGCCGATACAATAGCAAGAGCCTCTTTGTCAAGTTGGCTATAGTTTCGTTCAGCCTTCGCTAATGTCCGCGAAAAGTACGCAATGGGAGCTTCATGCCCGTTTGGTAACACGTGACTCAAAATGGCTCCAACCCCAAATGGTGATGCGTCACACGTAATATTTAGTGGCAAAGTCTCATTGTACTGCATTAGAATAGTATCGGATGTTAATAAATCTTTCACTTTTTGAAAAGAGCGTTCTTCTCGATGTCCCCAGACCCAGGTGGCTTTCTTGTCGAGAAGTCTATGTAGGGGCTCAGCTACGGTCGCCTTCTGGGACAAGAAGATGTTGTAAAAGTTAATAAGTCCCAGGAAAGCCTGGAGATCAGTCTTATTTTTAGATCTTGGGGCGTTCTTGATTGCCCTGAGTTTGTTTTCGGTAGGGTGAATACCGTGTTTATCGAGGAGGTATCCGAGAAACTCTACCCTTTCAGTGCATAGTTGACATTTTTTTTTTTTTAATCTTGAGGCCAGCGTCCTTAAATTTATGTAAAACCAATCTGAGACGCCTTTCAAGCTCTACTCTATTTGGGGCAGCAATTAACACGTCATCGAAATATGGTACAACCCCTTTTATTCCCTGTAAAAGTCTCTCCATTAGACTCTGAAATATCCCTGGGGCTACACTCACTCCGAACTGGAGTCTGTTACATTTGAAGGCACCTCGGTGTGTAACGATAGTCTGTGCCTCTGCGGTTTCCGCATCAACGGGTAGTTGTTGATACGCTTGCGCTAAGTCTAACTTTGCGAAGATCTTCCCGCCGCCCAGGGAGTGGAAAAGATGTTGAACCACCGGCACCGGATAAGCGCTCTGTTGGAGTGCGTGGTTCAGAGTGGCGCGGTAGTCTCCACAAATTCTGATCGACCCATCCGGTTTGATGGGGGTTACGATTGGGGTTTCCCAACGGGCGTGGTCAATAGGCTCCAACACCCCTTGGGCTATTAACTTATCAAGTTGCTCGTCAATCTTGTGTTTAAGGGCGAACGGCACCCGACGAGGCTTAAGGCGGATAGGGGCTACTTCTGGATTGAGGCTAAATGATATAGGGGTCCCCTTGTACTTGCCTAAGTTGTCCGAAAACACGTCGTGGAATTCCTGGACGATGCCCTCTTCCCAATCGTCGCTTTCGGCCTGGTGAATGCCGGCCACCTCGATCCCGAGTGGGGCGAACCATTGTAGGCCTAGTAAGCTGGGCCGGTCACCATCGACGACAGTTAATGGGAGAGACACGGCACGATCTTTAAAAGATACATGGACTTGACTCACTCCGACGACTGGGATCGAGTTCCCCTGATAATCTCTGAGGATGATTTTCTGTGTCCTGAGGTTTTGCCGACGGATGGTAGGGATCAGCTGTTTAAGGGTCTTCCAGGAAACCATTGAGAGGGACGATCCAGAGTCGACTTCCATCTGGCAAGGTTTGTTCTCGATGGCCACTTCCACTCGGATCTTTTGTTTGTCTAATGACGAAGCGTGGCCGATAATAATAGTCTGGTGTGCCTCTTCTCATCTTGCTGGAAGAGCAGATGTTTTGCTGCTGTAGGCATGGTTGTTCCATTGGTTATTCAAACGATCCCGATTTGCAGGGAGGTTCCCTGTGGTTTGGCGGAGGTTGTTCTCCTTTCTGTTTGTGTTGAATTCCCTCTTACTTCTGCAGACCCGTGCGATGTGGCCTCTCTTCCCACAGGAACGGCAGATTGCGTCGAGGAATTTGCAACCGGATCGCGGGTGGTTTCCCCCACAACCCGCACATGGGCACTGAAGTTTTAGAGTTTGTTGATCTCGTTCGGCCCGAAGTCTGTTAACCTCTTCTTCATCACTCTCGGATTGGGACTCGAGGTCCTCATGGTGCGCTGTTGCTGAGTGTCTTTCTAGTTGAGGCGAGGCTTCACGGGCAAACTGACGGAGCGGTGCATTGGTGCGGCGCATTCGAGCGGCCGACTTCTTGGTTGCCTCTGCTGCAGTAGCGTCAGCAATGGCATCTGCAAGATCGATGTCCCCCTTTGCCATGATCTTGCTCTGTACTGTGTGGTCATCTAACCCCAGAACTATGCGGTCTCGCATAGCTTCTTCTAGGTCTGAAAACCCACAGAGGCCTCCCAGGTTTCTTAGGTCAGCGATGAAGTCTGCAATACTTTCACCCTTCCGCTGATCCCGTTGATAAAATTCGTATCTCCGAACCAACGTTGGTATGGCGGGGGCATAGTGAGCCCGTAGGATAGGCTCGAGGTTGTCCCAATCCATTGCTGTCACTTCAGCCGGTTTCGCGAGCGCCTTCGCCATTCTAAAAACGGCTGGTCTACAATGGGTCAAGAACACCGCCTGCTTCTTTACGGCTGTTGCGTCTTTCAAAGTGTTGGTTTCTAGAAACATTTGGAACCGATCCATATACGACTCCCAGTCTTCCTTTTCTGGGTCAAAAGGAGCAGGTGGTATAGCGCCACCTGACATCCTGCCGATGTAGATGCGCTCTCAGCCACGTGCTTCGGTTGGTGCTCTGTAGGGTTTATTCAGTTCTATTGTCTCCGTATCCCATCCTCGTCGCCACTGTTATGTTTGAGGCATGGGTTTAATGAACGGAGACCAGACTGTAACCATGAACTTCAGCTCTTTATCCACAAGTCCGCACCAAAATTGATTGCAGGAAATACGACTTCAGCAACAGAGTGGTCAATGTCTGGAATACTCTACCTGACTCTGTGGTTTCTTCCCCAAACCCCAAAAACTTTAACCTTCGACTTTCTATTGACCTCACCCCTTTCCTAAGAGGTCTGTAGGGGCGTACATAAGCGCACCAACGTGCCTACCGTCCCTGTCCTATTGTTTCTTTTATTTTTCTTATATGTACTCATTTCTTGTATTCATAACTATGTTTATCCTTATATTTATTATCTTGTAAGCGATTGACAAATCAAATAAAGTCTTAAAGCTGTCACGTTTGAAGACCTCTGCTCCATTGGCTTGCCCAGCGCGAGGGGAGGGGGGAGATTTTCCCCGCCTGTTCCTAATAGGCCACGCGGGTTGCGATTAGTTAGCCCAGGCGTCGAATTCCCATTGAATAAAAAGAAGAAGCGAGGCGTAAAATCAAGAATGGAATGCGCGCGGGGGAGGGGAAGGACTTTCCCTTTTGGAACGTTGATTTCTCTTTGATCTCCTTAGGCGGAAGATAGAATTGAGGTTTGCACGTATTTTGGGAGAGGGAGGAGTGTAGGATACTCCCCCCCCCCCCCCCCTTCCACGCAGAACTAAGCCTACCCCTTTAGAGGAGGTTCCCACCCCAGCGATTGGCTTGCGGTGGGGAGGAGCTTGAGATACTTCCAAGCTCCGCCGCTCGCGAGAGCGAACCAAACCCGGGCGGACCCTCAGTCGCTTTTCTTGCTCTTGGTGCTCTCGCTCGGGCTCTGCGCTCATGGAGCTGCGAGCGATCCTGAGCCTGCGCGCCGCCCTGGCACTGGCCGCCCTAGCGATGGGCGCCTCTGCGGGCAGCGAAGGCAAGCGGGAAAGCGTGGATCCCGGTAGGAGGGAGCAGCGGGCAGGGATGAGGCTGCCGGGGGCGCCGGAGGGGGTGGTTGGGAGAAGTGACTGGCCGTCGCAAGCTTGGGAGCGGGTGGGTGGGGGCAGCGGGCGCTGTTAAAGCAGAAAAGGGGAAGGAGAGAGGCTGCGTGCACGGAGCCCTTCGCTTTGTGATGCAGAGCAGCTAGCAACTCGTGTCTTTCTTTAAAACCCCGTTCACACGAGCCGTCGCTTTGGCTCTCCGCAGTCGCCGAAAATCGGTTTCACTCCCAGGATGGTCCCCAGCCTAACGGCTCCCTGCTGCGGACCGAGGAGAGAACGCAAAAGCCGGGATCGATCGATCTGCCACCGCGTCCCTATCGGAGTCGCCTTATCTCTTGTTTAACTTTGAAAAGTGAAAACAAAAGATCGGAGCAGGGAAGGAAAGATGATAATAAACCATTCCCTCCTGGGGAAAAGAGATCGCTGATCCCGGAGCTTCCTAAATGGACAAAGTAATCCTCAATTTACGATCGCCAATTGAGTAATTGAGGTGGCTCAATTGAGGTGGCTAAGGAAGAAATAGGTTCAGTGAGTTTTTGCCACGCTTGTTCAGTGAATCACTGCAGTCGTTCGGTTAGTAACCTGGTTGATTAAGTGAATCTGGTTGCTTGTCAGAAGGTGGCAAAACTGAGATCGCATGACCCTGGGACATTGCAGCCATGTGAGCCAGGTGTCGAGGGTCTGACTTTTGATCCCATGATCATGGGGATGCATCTGTCGTGGGGGTGAAAAATGGCCATAAGTCACTTTTTCAGTGTCATGGTCGCTAAACAGACTTTTGTAAGTCGAGGACTACAAGTACGAGGACTTATTCCCAGAATCCTCCCTAGCATTGTGGCTGGGGGAATTATGGGAATTAAGAGGCCAGTGTGTCTGGAAGGGCACCAGGTTGCCTCTGTCAAGAGCCTAATTAATTTAATTAGGATGTTTAAATTAGGGTGCTTAAATTAGGCCCGCAGGGGAGGCCTGGAAATAACAAAGGACCAACCTGCGATGCCTTTGGCAGCCAAAATGGGGCAAGGGGGGGGGATGCACGTGGCTCCCCCCGCACCCTATTTTCGGCCTGGATGGCCCCCTGCAACACTCTGCCAGCCAAAACGGGCCACAGGTTAGGGATTTGGTTGGCAGGGTTCTGTAGGAGGCGTCTGTCCCGTCTCCCTCCCACCATCCCCTGGCTGGCCCTTAGAGGAGAGGCTGATCTGGCCCAGTTTGACACCCCCTGCTCTGGAAAGCTCATCCCCTCTTTTGATAAGGCTAGACCAGGGGTGTCAAGGCTCAAGGGCTGGATCCAGCCTGGGGGTGCTTAATCTGGCCCGTGGAGCTGCCCTGGAAACAGCGAAGGACCGGCCTACGGTACCTCTTCCAGCAAAAATGGAGCTCCGTTTTCGCTGGCAGAGGGGCTGCAGGAGGCTGTTTTGGCTGTTGCGGCCAAAACAGAGCCCCGGATGGCCGTTTTGGCCAAAAATGGAGACTCAATAGGTGACTTTCAGATGGCCATGCCCCCAGGTGCCCCCCCTGATGTCAGATACAACCCTGATGTGGCCCTCATGAAATGAAATCAAATTTGACACCCCTGGGCTAGACAATTTGGCCAACTTAAGATTGAGGGCCTTCAACAGTGCTGAAAAAAGTGACTTATGATCATTTCCTCCCCCCCCCCCCCCGTCATGTGATCAAAATTCAGATGCTTGGCAACTGGTTCTTATTTATGACCATTGCTGTGTCCCATGGTCATTTGAGACCTTCTGACAAGCAAAGTCAATGAGGAAAGCGAGATTCACTTCGCAGCCTTGTGGCTAACTGATCAACTGCAGTGATTCACTTAACGACGGGGGCAAGAAAGGCCGTAAGATGGGGCAAAACTCACTTAATAAACATCTCACAAAAACAGAAATTTGGGGGTCACCTGTGGTTGTAAGTCAGTAGTGTGCAGATTCAGAAACCAAGACAAGTATTTTAGACCAACTGGACATGTTTGAGTTGGCAGGAAGGAAAGAAAAGGTCAGAGGTGCATTTGTGGCGTTTGCTGAAACATCTGGCATTAAGAGAAAAATTTTGGGGAGCAGCAGAAGTACAAGGAAGAAGATAGTGGACATTTAATGGGACTTTCTGAGAAACCTCCAATAGGAAGGAAGGAATCAAATTAATAGAAAAAAAAAGCAGAGATGGAAGGCACCTTGGAGGTCTTCTAGTCCAGGGGTTGCCAACCTTTTGGACCAAACTCATAATTTTAAATCCTGCGGACCGGAGACTCCCAAAAAAGTCTGCAGGAAAGTTCTCCTCCCCATTTTCCTACCGATTGATCATTCTTTATTTGGGATCACAGCATACCGTCTCCAGCTCCATTTTCAAGGGGATGGTAGAGAGAGAGAGATTTTTAGCTTCATGCAAGAAAAGCAGCAGAAGCAGCAGAAGTCTTTCTTTCTTTCCTCTAAATTCCACCAGAAATGAGTCTTTGTGAGACTTGTTGCACCGGTGCAGCCTCTTGGAGCAGGATACCTTGTAGGGTCCAAAAGACTCATTTCTGGCGGAGTTTGGGGGAGAGAAAGAAAGACTTTTGCTGCTTTCCTTGCGTGCAGCTGAAAGCAGAAGAAGAAAGAAACGGAAAGAAGCAGCCTGGTGGCCAGGCCAAGGCGCTTGGGGTGAGGGGGACAAGTTCCCCCCCCCTGCCCTTTCCCTCCTCCCTGACTACCTCATGTTGTTTGCAATGCAAGCAACACAAGCCTTGTATTCCCACAGGCCATGTGGGCAGCGCAGCCTTGTGTTCCCGCGCAGCCTGGATTAATTGCTCTGCAGACCACCAAAATTTTCTCGTGGACTACCAGTGGTCCCCAGCCCACTGGTTGACGACCACTGTTCTAGTCCAACCCCCTGCTCAGGCAGGAAACCTATACCATTTCAGATAAATGGTTATCCAATCTCTTGAAAACTTCCAGTGTTGGAGCATTTACAACTTTTGGAGGCAAGTTGTTCCATTGATTAATTGTTCTAACTGTCAGAAAATTTCTACTTAGTTCTAAGTTGCTTCTCTCCTTGATTAGTTTCCACCCATTGCTTCTTGTCCTTCCTTCAGGTGCTTTGGAGAATAGCTTGACTCCCTCTTCTTTGTGGCAGCCCCTGAGATATCAGAACAGTGCTATCATGTCACCCCTAGTCCTTCTTTTCATTAAATGTTGTTGTTAGTGGCGAAGTTGTGTCCGACCCATCGTGATCCCCATGGATAACGTTCCTCCAGGCCTTCCTGTCCTCTACCATCCTCTGGAGTCCCTTTAATCTCACACTGACTGCTTCAATGACTCCATCCAGCCACCTCATTCTCTGTCGTCCCCTTCTTCTTCTGTGGCCCTCAATCTTTCCCAGCTCTTCTCCAATGAGTCCTTCCTTCTCATTAGGTGGCCAAAGTATTTGAGTTTCGTCTTCAGGAGCTGGCCTTCTAAAGAGCAGTCAGGGTTGATCTCCTCTAGGACTGATCGGTTTGATTGCCTTGCAGTCCAAAGGACTTGCAGGAGTCTTCTCCAGCACCATAGTTCAAAGGCCTCAATTCTTTGGCCCTCAGCTGGACTGTCACAGCCATACATTGCAACTGGAAAAACCATAGCCTTGACTATATGCACTTTTGTTGGCAGGGTGATCAAGTTCATCAAACTAGACATACCCAATTCCAGCAACCGTTCTTCATATGTTTTAGCCTCTAGTCCCCTAATCATCATTGTTGCTCTTCTCTGCACTCTTTCTAGAGTCTCAACATCTTTTCTACATTGTGGCGACCAAAACCGGATGCCGTATTCCGAGTGTGGTCTTACCAAGGCCTTATAAAGTGGTATTAACACTTCCCATGATCTTGATTCTGTCCCTCTGTTTATGCAGCCTAGAACTGTGTTGGCTTTTTTGGCAGCTGTGAGATTTAGAGGTATACTGCTCCTGATTGTGGAGGACCCACTTTCTAGATGTCATTATCTCTACAGTGTCGGTCACCGATTAATTTCCATAGTGATCATGGAAGTCCACTTGAATCTGAAGATAAAATGAATTTGGATTTTGCAAAATTAGCAATGCTGAGCAGGAAGATGGGCTGGCTTCTAAGTATATTGCAAGTTAGCCTCCATCATACAGATATGCTGGTGCATTTAAGAAAGGGGATGGAGAAAGGAACAAGTCCAGGATTTCTGGCACAAAATTCAGAGTTGGTTAGAGGAAATGGGTCAAATCAAACTCGAATACAAACCAGAGCTCTTTCTATTGGGAATTAACATAGAGAGGTACAACAAATAAATGACATGCCTAATAGTATAAGTGATTGCAGCTGCAAGACTAGTCTATGCTCAAAACTGGAAACTTAAGGAAATTCCAGATGAAGCGGAGATAATTAAAAAGATATGGACATGCACAGAAATGGATGAACTAACATTGGAATTAAAAAATAAAGATAAGACTGAATATTATAAAGTATGGGATAAATTTTACCACCAGTTGAGAAAAAGGAAGAACTTAAAATCCAAATTAAAATGAGGTAAGGATGTTAAGATAACAGATTAGGAATATAAAGAATTGTTGATGTAAATATATATACTATGTAAATATGTATTATTTGTCATCCGAAATAGTTACGTATGACAATTAGGTGTGTCAGGATGATTACCACGTTCACTGTTTTTTAAAAGTTTTCTTTTTGTTTAATAAAAATTAAAAAAAAGAGAGAGAGAGAAAAAGGAACAAGCCAAACCAGTTAATAAACGAGAAGGGTGTTTGGGTTAAAATAGTACAGCTGTTGGGGGGTGGGAAGAGTTTTGGCACTGGGAATTGGAACATAATTGTGGTTGCTCAGTTGGAGCAGAAATCCAAACCGTATAAGTTCTTTAGAAGACTTTAAGATTGACTTTTAAGGTCAGATTTTAATTGAAATTAAATTGGAGCTACTGTTTCTGGAAACTCAGAATATTACACAGTGATTACATGGTTG